CCTCGGAATTTGTTTTTCTTTCGCTCAACTTTCCTCCTTTTTTAATATACATTGTGCCGTATAAATAATAAATGAAATAATAATAATATGGACAACTGTCGCCTTCACTTGAAAACATTTCCATCCAGTAAAGATTGAAGTAAATTCGACGAGTCAGGCACTGGCTCCTTTAGACATCACTTACACTAAGCACTTTTGTGGAGAGTATTTTTTTGTCACTTTAGGACACGTGTTTCTTGGCAAGAAAGGTAGTATTGAGATTGCTGGGTGTGGAATTCCTTTGGGAAGAGGGAGAACGACCATTAAAAGTGAGGAAAAGGTGGACGAGAGTGAAAATGCAAAGATGTAAAGGTGTTGGTACTATGGTAAGAGTAAGAGAAAAAACTAAATGCTAGCAAGGCTAACACCAGAATGGGAGATATTAAGAGTTCGAGAGATAAAGGGAATGGAGATACAGTTGAGATGTACTGTGCAAGAGATGTGTAGGGTGTCAGTAAAATAGGGGAAGGTTGTAGGAAAGATGGGTGAATGATGAAATGAGGAGGTAAGTGAAATGGTCACATAATTAAGAAAGGCTTATGACTGTTGGTTAAGTGACAGCAGTAAAGAGATCGAGCATCCATGGACTGGTTGGTGTCAGGAGGGGCATCCAGGCAGGCAAGAGCGGCACTGTCAAAAGCAAAAATCCCGCATGGCCACCGTCATGCGAGAATGATGAAGAACAGGATCAATTGCATTCTATTAACATCATGCACAGCTAACAGCTAAGAACAGACATCATAATGGTTAAAAAAAACATAATGGCAACATGTATCTTTTGATGGGAAATAGGTGCTGACAAAGTCATACAGCGCCACGGGAATTATGACAATCATGCAGTTGTTTTAATGTAATTGGTCTCGTATAGCATAACAAATACAAATTGAAGCGAATCTAAGGGAAGAATTGCTTGTTTTCAAAATAACTAATTAAAATAATATTCATGCATTCAGTTTGCTGTACTATTCAGCACATTCTCTCCGTGGATTATTTTAGTTCTGATCTACATTTGCATTGGTTCTGGGAAAGATTTTCTGATTTAGCTTCCTGGGCAACAGGTGAGTTTATTTAGAACATACAAAATCACACTTTGCAAATTGGCTATCGTACATACACGCGTGTGTGGACTAAGACTTATTTTTACTTTGACAAGTTTGTTGTGACAAGTAATTACATAACACAGGGTGATGTCTTCTCCATTTTAATATGTTCCTCCCTGAATCCACACTGAGAGAGACAGAGACAGACAGACAAACAGCAGAGAGAGAGAGAGAGAGAAAGACAGAGAGAGAGAGAGAGGCAGACATACAGAGACAGACAGACAGACAAACAGCAGAGAGAGAGAAAGAGAGAGAGGGGGGGGGACATACACAGACAGACAGACAAACAGCAGAAAGAGTGAGAGAGTGAGAGAGATACATACGTACATACATACATACATGCATACATACATACATATATACATACATATATACATACATATATACATACATATATACATAGAGAGACGGGCAGACAGATAGACATATAAACAGACAGACAAACAGCAGAGAGAAAGAGACAGACAGACTTACAGAGACAAACAGACAGATAGGCGGATAGACAGACAAACAACAAAACTGTACATCCAGTTCAAATTGAGATCCAAACCCCTACACTCTTATCAACAATTAAGCCGATAACATGAAACAACTTATCAGCTTATCCCTAGGACGATGAAAATGTAGGGCACCAGCGTAACAAATACAAAACAAATACAACAAATCTATTTAGTCATGTGAATGCTTTCTCTTGTTCAATTGCTCGAGATTCACACTGATCATTCCTGTAATTCTCGAGAAAGTGTGTTAAACGGCCGGCACATTGACACGGATTCTGTACGTTTTAAAAATAGTTTTTTTTTTCGTTTAAATTGATTATCTGTTTATTTATAAATTAATCTGTGTCTATCTATTTATCTATCATTATATCTATCTATTTGTCATTATTACTGTTCTTCTTCTTATTATTATAATTGTAAGAATAGCAGTTGGAAGAGAAAAGGCGAATGAAAATATTTTAAAAGATTGTGAATTATTATTAGTATATATGACCACGTGACCACAGTTGTTACGTTTCACACTGTTTTGTTTAAAGTTTTGCGTACGAGCACTGACATGGAAGATATGGAGGAACATACAGAAATTGTATTTTATCAATTTTGGAAAATGAAGGGAGAAGCAACAAGGATTGATTTTCTCCAGAATACATTGAAGTATTTATTCAGTAAATAAATTCCAACAAAATGGGCGAGGCCGCAGTGACAGTCATTATTATTATTATTATTACTATTGGTATTATTATCATTAAAAATAATAATAATGATAATAATAATAATAATATTTTCATTAAATACATTTGTATGTTCATAGTAAAAATATGTATTTGCGAGTAAGTAGCATATAGATGAACATTAATCTATCTATCTATCTCTATATATGTATGTATGTATATACGTGTGTGTGTGTGTGTGTGTGTGTGTGTGTGTGTGTGTGTGTGTGTGTGTGTGTGTGTGTGTGTGAGAGAGAGAGAGAGAGAGAGAGAGAGAGAGAGAGGAGAAAGAGAGAGAGAGAGGAAAAAGAGAGAGAGAGAGGAGAAAGAGAGAGAGAGAGGAGAAAGAGAGAGAGAGAGGAGAAAGAGAGAGAGAGAGGAGAGAGAGAGAGAGATGGAGAGGAGAGAGAGAGATGGAGAGAGAGAGAAAGAGAGAGAGAGAGGAGAAAGAGAGAGAGAGAGGAGAAAGAGAGAGAGAGAGGAGAAAGAGAGAGAGAGAGAGGAGAAAGAGAGAGAGAGAGGAGAAAGAGAGAGAGAGAGAGGAGAAAGAGAGAGAGAGAGGAGAAAGAGAGAGAGAGAGGAGAAAGAGAGAGAGAGAGGAGAAAGAGAGAGAGAGAGGAGAAAGAGAGAGAGAGAGGAGAAAGAGAGAGAGAAAGAGAAAGAGAGAGAGAGGAGAAAGAGAGAGAGAGAGGAGGAAGAGAGAGGGAGAGGAGGGAGAGGAGGAAGAGAGAGGGAGAGGGAGGAAGAGAGAGGGAGAGGGAGGAAGAGAGAGGGAGAGGGAGGAAGAGAGAGAAACAGAGAGAGAGAGAGGGAGGAAGAGAGAGAAACAGAGAGAGAGAGAGGGAGGAACAGAGAGAAACAGAGAGAGAGAGAGGGAGGAAGAGAGAGAAACAGAGAGAGAGAGAGGGAGGAAGAGAGAGAAACAGAGAGAGAGAGAGGGAGGAAGAGAGAGAAACAGAGAGAGAGAGTGGGAGGAAGAGAGAGAAACAGAGAGAGAGAGAGGGAGGAAGAGAGAGAAACAGAGAGTGAGAGAGGGAGGAAGAGAGAGAAACAAGAGAGAGAGAGAGGGAGGAAGAGAGAGAAACAGAGAGAGAGAGAGAGAGAGGAAGAGAGAGAAACAGAGAGAGAAGAGAGGGAGGAAGAGAGAGAAACAGAGAGAGAGAGAGAGGGAGGAAGAGAGAGAAACAGAGAGAGAGAGAGGAGGAACAGAGAGAAACAGAGAGAGAGAGAGGGAGGAACAGAGAGAAACAGAGAGAGAGAGAGGAGGAACGAGAGAGAAACAGAGAGAGAGAGAGGGAGGAAGAGAGAGAAACAGAGAGAGAGAGAGGGAGGAAGAGAGAGAAACAGAGAGAGAGAGGGAGGAAGAGAGAGAAACAGAGAGAGAGAGGAGAGAGAGAGAACAGAGAGAGAAGAGAACAGAGAGAAACAGAGAGAGAGAGGGAGGAAGAGAGAGAAACAGAGAGAGAGAGAGGAAGAGAGAGAAACAGAGAGAGAGAGAGGGAGGAAGAGAGAGAAACAGAGAGAGAGAGAGGGAGGAAGAGAGAGAAACAGAGAGAGAGAGAGGGAGGAAGAGAGAGAAACAAAGAGAGAGAGAGGGAGGAAGAGAGAGAAACAGAGAGAGAGAGAGGGAGGAAGAGAGAGAAACAGAGAGAGAAAGAGGGAGGAACAGAGAGAAACAGAGAGAGAGAGAGGGAGGAAGAGAGAGAAACAGAGAGAGAGAGAGGGAGGAAGAGAGAGAAACAGAGAGAGAAAGAGGGAGGAACAGAGAGAAACAGAGAGAGAGAGAGGGAGGAAGAGAGAGAAACAGAGAGAGAGAGAGGGAGCAAGAGAGAGAAACAGAGAGAGAAAGAGGGAGGAACAGAGAGAAACAGAGAGAGAGAGAGGGAGGAAGAGAGAGAAACAGAGAGAGAGAGAGGGAGGAAGAGAGAGAAACAGAGAGAGAAAGAGGGAGGAACAGAGAGAAACAGAGAGAGAGAGAGGGAGGAAGAGAGAGAAACAGAGAGAGAGAGAGGGAGGAAGAGAGAGAAAAAGAGAGAGAGAGAGGGAGGAAGAGAGAGAAACAGAGAGAGAGAGAGGGAGGAAGAGAGAGAAACAGAGAGAGAGAGAGGGAGGAAGAGAGAGAGAGAGAGAGAGAGAGAGGAAGCAAGAAAAGACCAGCAATGCTACAACTATCTTACACATTTGAATTTCACACTTAAAACAAGAGAGACAAATCAACGGGGAACATAGTGTGAGAATATTACTTCTTTTCCTCACGCGTCATGATGTGCATGGTAACAAAAGCATAACTGATTATTGATTTGCTAAACTGCAATATAATCATCGCAATTGTTTCATCATTACACGAGAATAGAAAGATGAAGCAGTTTAATTTTAGTTTATGGATGCGTCAGCACAGAGTTCCCGACTATGAGCGGTTGCCAGGTAGTAAAATTTGCGGAGTGTTGCCTGTTCGTGTGTCTACTTCCCTGACCTTGTAGCGAATCAGGGAAGAGGGAACGGCAAAAGAGGTGGATAATAGAAGCCGGATAAAAGAGGCATAAAGAGAAAAAAGGGGATAGAATGAAATATACACAACAAAATGACTCAGAGAGATTCGCGTGGCACAATAACGGTACTAAAGAAATCGATTATTATTATTGAGAAAATTA